TCGGTAGAATGACGGTGGAGCAGCTCAAGGAAGCTTTGGCACAGCGTAATCAGCAATATGCCGAGCTGACGACCCACTTGCTTGAAGTCACCAAGAGCTATGCAGCCGAGAAGGCTGTGCTCGAAAAGAAGATTGCGGCGCTGGTTATGGAAGTCGCCAGGAAAGACAAGGAAATCCAAGGCTTCACTTGGATGCTCAATAACCGCGGCACTCAGCCTCCTCCCGATGATGACGTGGACTACACCAGAATACCAGGTCCACGCATCCAGAGAAGCCCTTCTGCGGCTTCGAGCAAGATGTCATCCCGCCGGATTCAGCAAGCGGATGATTCTGGTGCAGAGTCGCCCTCAGGAGCTGAGTCCGTGCCTGGATCAGGAGGATCTGTCCGTTCGAAGAGAGGCCTGCGCCCACTGACCCTTGGTGAGTCGAACTACAGTCTCTATCGGTCATCGATATCGAGTAAGGCCTCGAGTCGTGGGCCGGCCTTTGACAGCGGTGTCTCGGACCAGAGAACTTCGGTCTACTCCTCATCCGCCGCGACCTCGTCGAGCTCATCCCTCCTCCCTCCCAGTCCTTCCATCACTGGCTCATCCTTATCTGCAATTCCAGAGGTATCCGTCGTCATGCCCTCCTCTAGAGTGATGTTGCCGCGCATTCCGATCTCCCGGACGCGGGACTCGGCGTCGGAGTGGGAGACGAACCCCGAAAAGAAGTCTTATGACGCAGTCCGGCTCTCCAAGCCGGCATCCTCTCTTTCGTCGTCGTCGTCGTCCTCTGCTGCAACAAGTGCATATGCGGCGAATCTCAAGCGTGGACGTCCGCCTTCTATTGCACAGGTATTGCATAAGTCAGGCACTATGGATGATGTTCTAGAGAAGCTCCGCCCATTTGCGGCAGCAGCGCCGACGGCAGCTGAAGCATGACAAGGCCCACTTCAGTCAGGTTGTGTTTGGTCCCTTCCTTTCCTACTAAACAATACTTGCTTCTAGTCCAATTCTGATTCTATTCACTCCTGCCCATATTAATCCACTCTATCGCCTTTTAATATTCTGGATCTGGCACCTTGAATGGTCGACCATAGCCCCTGGCCCCACACTCTTTCCCTCAAATGACACGTTCCGCAATATCCTGTGCGATGGCTTGATTAACAAACACATCTTCGTTCGTCTTTTATTGTCTCCACGGGGTGGAGCCTAGATCACGACATCGTTGGGTTCTTTTTATCCTCGCTGACATCTGCCTGCCCTTTCCCGTCTCGTTCTCATCCTATTCAATGATGGACCTTCATATCCCAATTGTTGGATAACACAAGTGACCCACCTCGTTGCACCAATGACATGCACTGCATTCCTTGTACACTAGTACTGCATACGCATTTCAGTATAGTTCAATGTCAACACACTAATAATCTCTCGCCGTTCATCGTTCAAACGAGCTAACACGTCCGGAATCTAAAAGACCAGCAAGGACTGGTGAGGAAGGTTGATGACGGAACAATATATCACGCCAAGCGCTTTCAAATGTTATTGGCTGAATGCACGGTTCAAATTGAATGTTGATCGATGATCAATGGGTTATTGGTTTTTTCTATTAATGTCAAGACGAGAAGCTGTTCAGGAAAGGATTGCCGAGGGGAGTTGAACCACCTCGGGAAATGATATAGAGCGCGGTGTGAACCATTGCGACTCGCTCCACTTTAACAATCTTTACCCCCGCCTGGAGGATGAAAGCGTCTATCCGTTGTACATGTTGTTATCTTCCTTTTCTGTCCACAGAGGGCTAGCTTTTTTCAGGTTTACACGATGTGGCTGGGTAGACCTGTATGTTTGCTCCTTCAAGGATTTGTGCAGCGAGTTATTCAACGTCTCATTGTGCCCCGAAAATCATTCACCGCTTCAATTTTCCTCATTTTATCAAGTTAGAATTCCAGCTGTAAGCACTAGCCAATCGATCTAACAGTAACAGTGACGCTACAGATCAAGAATCAATATAACTTGTTGCTGGATCAACGATTACTGGTATCTCCTCATCTGCGACCGACGCAAGAACACCCCTCATACCACTGTTATCAAAAGCTCTCCCGTGTTTACCTTGCCTTCCTACCTGACAACTAGATCGAGTATGGATGAATGTCAGACCGGAATAACCTACTCTCAATGCGGCATCCATCGTCCTTGATACGCCTCGGGACGTTGAACTGTACTACCTGTTATGACGCGAACGACGGCAAATCGTTTGAACGTGATTACAGAAATTCCATTCAATTGCTGCAATCCTTGATAGATAATCTGCTGCCCCAATGCTTATGCTTCATCCTAAACATCGTCGCAAGCCAACTTCGTGAAATAGTATGCTGACGATAATCACCTTGTCGCTAGACTTGAAAGCACTTACGTGCGTCCCAATAGTATTGTTGGTGGCCTGCAAGAGATCCCCAACAGTTCATCCGGTCGATTTTAACCGATCAAAGGGGCAGAAAGATTCGGAATCTGATGCTCATAATCGGAGTGCAAGATTCTAGTGTCGTGACAATGACTTGGAATTGGCACGCCAGTGAAGCGTCGCTCTCCAGGATTGTTCTTTCAATGCAAACCAGTCGTGCCAATCAATACCCTGCGGCTGTGAGTCTCTGTCGTTGTTGAAGATTTTAAAAACCTGCATTCTTCCGTCACATGTCCGACCGTGTTTCAAGTTCCACTGACTCCGATTGAATTGAATGTGGTACTAAGTACTTGACGAGTGCCTGCCCATCCCATCATTGTTTCCTAGTTGGACGCCAGAAAACTATGTCAATCGTTACATCTGACGCAGTGATACTATCTATCATCTTCGATCGAAATTTGCAGATCTTCTATCAGAAATATCAAAGGTTTCCGATTTGAAAACCCTGTGTGCTCAGGCTCAGTCCTGGTAGCTATCTCTGGCCATCCTTGAATGTCGCATTTGGACCCGGTTCAGTATCGTGTCAGCCCACTCTTTGATGTTGACCAGGCACTCTAGATACTCTAAACTCTCAGCTGATCAAAGACCTTGAGTAGAACCTGGATGTATGTTGGGCGAATGAGGGAGGAGACAATTGTAACTCGCGTTTCGAACACACCCAATGCATCGCGGTGTACTAACCCGAGGTGTCGTGGATAACGTTAACGTCTCGTTCTTGTCGTGCTTTTCTGGATGTCTGTGATTATTCGAATTTCAAGTCTGAAGCGAATATCATCTTGTGAAACCTGTGATTGCCCTCACATCCAACTCGACGACGAGTGGCATGCCAGGTGGTGACTTAATGTATCCCAAACTAGTACTCCCCTCCCCAGGCTCCCCTTACAAACGAGGCCAATCATGAACTCTGATTCCAGGGCACGATTGCTCAGTTCCTACAGCGTTCCAGTGCTGTAATATTTTCTCTCAGGATCGGGCTTCGTCTAAAAGAGCCTCATGCATGTTCTCGTAATCCTCATCTCGTTTTCAAAGAGCCACCCCACGCCGTCCGCAAGCAATCTCATCAGAAACGTCAGGAAATTCTTTCAAGTAGTGCTGTAGTCGGCAGCGCTAAGCATAGGAAAATAATCGATCATTTATTTTGGGCTGGATCGCAAGGAATAGCACGTTGCCCAACCGATCACTACTGAACCTCAATCACAATTTAACTACCGAATTTCCAAGGGCTTCAATGCTTGATGAATATACAATGATCGTCTATTGGATGCAAGGAGTACATCGTATTGAACAGAGATGGATTATTCTCATGGAAGAGTGGATGGTATCTCCTTTTCAAAATTTCGCGCCTCAAGGCACCATAGTAGGTTTCAAGTCCATCCTTTGACGTAACACGAGATCACTGACGAAGATTTCGTACGTGCAAGACCAGTCAAACTACCTCCCACCCCAAACCGCCTCCTCATCAACTTCCCTAAGTGTACCATTCCTTAGCCTTTCAGTTTCCTCGCGATGTAACGCATCGTCTCCCGGCGGAAGCGCCACACCTCCCCGACGCCGACGGCCATAGAAGAAATCGTACACATGTGAAAGGAAGAACGCCAGTGGGTGGATTGCAGTGAACGTAATGACTGTTATCTGTACACGTCAGATCAGCCAAGATCATGTCCGATCCCGTAGAATGAAAGGACGTACATAGACTGGGGCGGGTTTGGGCATATCCAACCAAATGCTCACGCAGAGCCAGGTTGCGGCGACGCACCACACGAGGTCCCTTCTGAGGACGATGATTACGAGGGCAAACAAATTGGATGACATCACGACTGCAAACCCAGACCACGCGTGCCAGGCAGAGTATTTCCGCGGTGAACCAGGTGGGGTGGGATCAAAGGATAACCCAAGAGTGACACTGTAGATGCAATCAATACCCTATTCCCAATTTACCAAAAAGGACATACAATAGGGAGTATGGAAACAAGATAGCGAGGGGTAAGGCAAGGAAGAAACGGAGTGGCGCATGTATCAAAGCTGTATCCATTGGACGTGCTGATGTCGGGGGGTGATATACCAAGAGTACGAGGTTGGAGTAGAATAATAAAAGGAGAAGAACACCTTGGAATATTGTCGCGACTAGGAACCACTGGAAGATCCATGCGATTGCCCAAAATGCCATGACCCAATTGGCTAGGACAAGCGATACACCGACTGCTTTCGTCAATGTGTGTTTTGTCTCAGATTTGCTGGCGAGAACGAGGAGAAGGCAATAGCCTAATTGACCAAGGAAAATAACGAATACATAGATAGTGATTGTAGGTGGATGAGGGGAAATTGAAGTAGGATGGTTCCTGACGACTTCAGTGATGGTAGGTGTGGTGAGGACTGTGCAGACAACGAGAGCGGCGATGTTAATGAGCAGAGAGAGCGGAGTGAGAACTTGAAGGCGGACAAGAGCAAGATAATCCTGTACAGCAGGATGCGAGAGGTCGACGGGAAGGGACTCCATGGTGGTTCAAGGTTGGGAAGGGTCGACGTCATAGGATTGAGTTAGACCACCCCACGAAAAATGGACACACCCGGAATTGAACCGGGCACCGCCCGCAAGATCATCGAGAGATGCTAAGCGGGCGTGATAACCAACTACACCATGTGCCCTTGGAAACACTGCTTACAACAATAGTGTCAGGGAAATTTTCAAATTCTTCCCACTATAGAGGTGTCTTCCTCGAGGGGCATTGTGACTTAATTTACATGACAAAAGAGATACAAGGAAGCTACGGAGATGTTGTACAACAGAAGGATACAATGTCCAGAGTAGGAATGTATAGTGTGTACATACCCAACAGAACCAGATAAAATCTATTTAGTTGTCAACGGTGGCAGGGCAAAAATGGAGACTGTAGAAAACGTCTTATCAGTTGATTCTAAGTCTGCAAAGTATGAATGGAACTTGCCTTAAAATACAGAATGTTTCCTGTAATAAATCAGGTATAAAAGCCCCGCTGCGTCGCAAGGGGTGAGGGTATAAGATCGTGACGGTCATAAGTGGCAGCACTGGTGGATACAGAAGTTTGATGAATGCGAGAGAAATAGATGAAGCAAATGAGACAAGGAGATAAAATGAGCGACGGAGCATGATGAGGCATGAAATTTAATGAATGACGGTATCCGTTTGATCATGGTTAGGCGTGATGGTAGTGTAGTGTAGTCGGATGTCTTTAAGGAGCGTTTCACGAGTAATACGTTTGACTCATGGACCAATATTGCGAGTCTTGTTCGACGAGCGGTTGTTGTGGTGAAATATACTGAGTTGGGGGCCAGCCCTGCGGCGTCGACACGGTCATTGATAGATGGCCATCGGGTGTGCCCCGCCCACTCGCGATTTGATAATGATGCATCTGGTGCTGAACAAGTTCCGCGGGTGTCTTGACGTCGTATAAAATCTGATGACGGGTCTTTTCGTAGACCGGTAGGGACTGTGATACTTGATTGACTATTGCTTCGCCAGCGACAGTAGGAATCTGGCTCTGCACAGGTATCGGGCTGTCCATCGTACTCGCTCCGACGACTTGCTGCTGTTGTGGCTCCTGGCTCTCGTACGGGGTCTCATATCCCGAGGATAAATGATAATACGTCTCTGGACCAGAGACAGTAAGCTGGTGGACAAAGGCCGGTGGGCTGGGGTGATGCGAATTGTTGGACGGGTATATCACGGGCGTCTGTGGGTGTCCAGTAGTCGATCCATATGGCGAGCTGGCCGTGGACAAAGGTCCACTGCTCGAGTTGGCATGGGGACTTGATGGACCACCGTAAGCACCATCACTGCTCGTCGACCCCTGATCGAAGGACCTGGGGGTTTGATCATAGCTGCGGGGTCCTTCGTGGGGCCCAGGACGGGACGATGACCGGCTGCGGATGTACTGAGTGGAAATGAAGGGCTGTTGGACCTGCTCGGGCTGATGAGGCTGGCGCTGACCGGCGTCGTTGATGCTAAATCGACGACGTTGACTTATGTGTATATCTTCATCCCGCTCTTCGGCATACCGGAGAGGGTACTCGCCAGCCTGCAATCGAGACGTTCGAGTGACAGAGGAGGATCTAGAACGATAACCATTGTCCACAATGGGGTGACTGACAGGATGCTGGATGGGAGATAATTGCTGAGACTGGAAGTTGTTCGGATGCCCCTCCTGTACAGGCGAAGACGTAAAATCAGCCACACGTGGCTCGGGTATACTCTCAGTCTTCGGCCCATTGACTTTTTTAATCATCCAAGGCGCACTGTCCTTTCCTCGGTCGCGGAAACCAACAGTAGGGTACGAAGATTTCTTTGAGTGCCTCTTATCACTGCCTTTGCTGCCACGAGGAACAGAGCTCTGTCTCGGCGGTGAAGGCGGGATCACAGGACGATGGACTTGAGGCTGCTGTGACGCCGATGAGTGATTAACATTCGCCTTCACGAAGGAACTGTCCGAGCCGACAGCCATTGGTGTTACCTCCATTTGCCCATTCGTCTCAGCTCGCCGCTCAACAGGTTGTAGCACCTCAAGCACGGCATGTTTCCTCTTCAGCGGGTTCTCCTCGCCCTTCCTACAAACATCACTCGACTCAATCCTTCTCTTCATCGACGCAAGCAGGCGCGACATCTCGCCATCTGGGAAACCAATCCCACAAAGCACCTCCAATGCAACGCTCACTTCCTCGACCAGCGCCACAGTACGCCGGGGCTTCGTCGATGCGAACCCAGAATGCGCACAAATCACCAACGCATCAGCCACCGCCTTCTGCAAGGGATAAAACCCACACATGAACGACGCCCTATTCCCAGTCTGCACAAGACGATGCAGCACCCTTGCAGCACGCACAACAGCCTGCGCTGCATCGACCGTTGCACGGCTCGCGGGGCTCCACGGGTGCGCAGCAGAATACACGCTCGTGCTCGAAGAAGTTGTGCCGTCCTGTGGGGGCCGCATGAGAGGCACATACGCAGAGATAATCATGCGGTTCGCGAGGATAGCAAGTTCAGCAGCGATTGCTGTGTGTTTTTGAGACTTGGTTTCGGTTGAGGGGGAAGGTTCGAGACGGAGGGACGAGGGGAGGTCGGCGGCCCAGGTACGGATCTCAGCTTCGAGTTTCACGGCTTGGTCGAGGGTGTAGCCGCTCCCGCAAGTATAGCAGTCGCAACCAGGATGGGCGAGACGATGTTTGAGAGTTTGTGCTAGGCGGGTGAGGCTATGGACGTAAAGGTGTCAAGGAAGAATGGCAGAGAGGTTGGTATAGGGAAATGGGGAAAGCTTACCGACAGCGAACACCGAAGAAACCTGTCTCTGCATCGTCCGGTATAGAAGAGGAAGCCTTGGTCTTGGTTTTCGTTTTCGGAGGAGGAATAGGACGTGGAGGTATCCGTGCTTTGGAGAGGCCATTAGCCTTGGCAAACAACGGACGTCGCTCGTCTTCGTTCCCGCGGTCACCAGAAGGGTCGCTCTCATCATCTCCATCTGCACTTTCATCAGATTGCTTGCGAGAACTTGATGGACGCGAAGGAGAATGCGCAACAGCGGGAATTTTGGTTTTGTACGAGTGGGAAGCTATGAGAGGTGTTTGTTCCAGAACATCAGACGTGAAACTGTTGAATTTCTTGAGTAGCTTCCCAGGAAGTCGCAAGTTATGGGTAACTCACATGTCATAAAACATAATATCCCACCAAATATTCCTTCGCCTCTCTTCGGCCTTGCCATGCTTTCGCACTCCCGTTTCTGACTCTGGATCACGTGCAAGTTCAAGTCCACGAGCGGTGTTGACGAGCTTGCCTATCTGGAGAAGAGAGAAAAAAGTTAACGCCCCACCTGGAAGGCTCTGTTGAAAAGAATACCAGAGGGAAAACGGTCTCGGACAAAACCCTCGATGACGTCGCAGACCCGGTGCGCAGCAGATACTTAACTTGAAGGAGCAAAGCCACCATATGATCGAGTTCGTTCTTCTCCTTCTCTGCTTGCTTCGCCTTACTCGCATCCACTGAAACGTCGACACTGTCCAGACAAGTCTCTTCCTCTTTTGCACCTGGAGAGCTTCTGTGCTCCTCCCAGACGCCTATCGCCTGTCTAGCTAGTCCATACAAGAAGGAATGATCCACTGATGCTTCACCAGGAGACTCCACTGCCCCAAGCGCAAGCAAATAGCACATGCAAGCGAACAAGGGGAGGCTGGCAGCGGAATTTGATGAAGGCAGGGACAATGGTGACGGAGAGTTGGATCCTGCACGAGCATCGAAGACAGCATTAGCTAAAGATCTCTGAGGCTCCTTTTCGGCTTGGGCAGCAGCAATTTCTGCGTCAGCAAGCTCAACAACTCTTGCCCAATGGATGAGGAGAGAAAGATGTGGGGTTGCTGAGCGGACATTAGTCAGGAGTCGTGTACGTACAGATGGAGGAGGGAGGTGAGCAAATATTGCGGACGTTAGAGAAGGCTGTCCTGATAGGGGAGCAGGGGATAGTACACCCTGTGAGGCTGTGTACTCGCAAGAATAGGGATCCTGCGAGAGATATGAAGATTCCTGTGGGCGTTGTGTATGATATAGGTGGAGGGAAGGTAAGGTTCGTCGAGTAGCAGGAGCATGATTCGGGCTGGCCGACGGGCCTTGATCAATTAGGATCGTATCTTCGTGAAATTGGCCGGAGCTGGAGAAATGCAAAAGCTCTAAAGATGGCTCCAGCTTAACGAAGGGACCGTCCTCCAGGGCCTCAGATTTGAGGGAAACCTGATTACCAGGCGTAAATACGTCAAGCTGGCAATGTACCAGCCATATATTTACGAGGTCGTGCATGCGAATAGATATAGGCGAAACAGTGTCGGAGACGACATGGCTCGGTCGGGCTGGTAAAGAGCCGATAGGAATCTGGGCGAGTGGATACGAGGACTGGAACGGTGGTGGTGTCCTGCCAGCGGTTATCATAGAAAGAAGCGTTTCGACCTGTATAAGGCGGTTATTGATGGAATGTAGATCGACCTTTTCTGCAGCCGCTGGTGAATAGATACAACGCGCCACGGTATCACGCTTTGTACAGCTACCACACGGCGTGCGTCTGTCGCATTTGAGCTTGAGACGCTTACACTGTGCCAAAAATGAGCTCAAAAAGGTGGAAATATCGGGAAACAGACCTCTGCACAAACGACAGTTATTCTGGAGCGAATTTGGCTGCGAAATGTGAAAGGTGAGCACAAGACCGTATATGTAGGTGCCCAACATACGGTGCAGTGGTCGTAGGGACCAGGGCAGAGGCTGGGTCGTCCATAGCGGCTGTCGTGGAGGAAGAGTCTCGAGAGGAGACTTGGTTTTCATGGTGCTTAAGCTGTCCCTGCATATCCGAGTCGGAACTGGCTTTGCGTCCTACCACTTGGTCCTGGCCCGATTCGGCAGTCTGTGATTTCATCTTGAATAGTCCAAGGCCTCGCTGTCGCCAATCGTCCACAGGGTCCTCCTACGTCGCGTCGGCCAGGAAAGAGGTGCTCTTACTTATTTTCACCCAGCTGTGTCATCTATAAACTTCTGGCATTTGCCGCAGCCCGCAATCACTCTCCAATCACACCCTCATACCCGATCTGAAGGGCCCGACCCTGCACATTCCAAATCTCGCTCGATGGGAAGATCTTGTGCT